GCTGTACTGGGACCAGCCGCATGAGGGTGGCGGTAGCAGCAGGATGAGTAAATCAGCCCAGACTCCCCTGTCCTCAGCAGCAGATCCCAAACTCATTGAGAGGAATGAGCAAGAGATGTCAGAAGAAATCACAGACTGAGTGAGTGAGGGTTAACAGGCTGGGACTGTAGATGAGAGGGTTGGATTGGTGGGTAAATATTTGCGTCCCGTGGGTGTGGATGTATTGGAAACAGTGGGAAATCGATCTCGACTCTTTTTTTTGCTTTTGAATTTGTGTGCACGTGTGCTGGCGCACACACCCTCACTGTGCTGGACTAGCCACCCCCTCCTGATGTGACCTTTGACCCCGTGTGGCCAGGCAGATCTGAGCTGTGCCCGGGGCTCCTCCTCCTCCTCACCTCTTCCTCTCTCAGCTGGACCAGACTGTGCCAGTGTCCTTGGGGGGGGTGAGTCTCCTGGTTTCTGCTCCAGCCCTGACGCCCCCCGAACACTCGTCACCTCCCCCACAAGAACAGCACTGGACACCCCAGGAACCCCCTGGGGACAGGCGCTGGCGGAGGCCTGAAAGGACAGAGGCAGGGTCGCCGTGCTCTCACAGTGTCACCTGCAGGGCTCCTGGTGAAGGAGTGATGCTTTGGGCCAGGAGGGGGCGCTGTCATCCAGAGCCGTCTACACGGTGCCAGCATCAGCTGAGCTCACACAGGCTGCAGACCAGCAGGGCTGCTGCACTAGTGTCTGACTTGAGCTCAGCTCCACGCACTCTCACGCCTGCACACTCACAATAACAATAATAATTGCTTACACTCATATAGCACTTTCCTGGACACTCCACTCAAAGCGCTTTACAGGTAATGGGGATCCCCTCCACCACCACCAGTGTGCAGCCCCACCTGGGTGATGCGACGGCAGCCATAGTGCGCCAGAACGCTCCCCACACACCAGCTCTCAGTGGGGAGGAGAGCAGAGTGATTAAGCCAGTTCAGAGATGGGGATTATTAGGAGGCCATGACTGGTAAAGGCCAGGGGGAAATTTGGCCAGGACGCCGGGGTTACACCCCTACTCTTTTTGAGAAATGCCCAGGGATTTTTAATGACCACAGAGAGTCAGGACCTCGGTTTTACGTCTCATCCGAATGACGGTGCCTCTTTTACAGTAGAGTGTCCCTGTCACTATACTGGGGCATTAGGATCCACACAGACTGCAGGGTGAGCGCCCCCTGCTGGCCCCACTAACACCTCTTCCAGCAGCAAACTTAGTTTTTCCCAGGAGGTCTCAAATTCCAGGTACTGACCAGGCTCATACCTGCTGAACTTCTGTGGGTTCCCAGTTGTGAGTTGCAGAGTGATATGGCTGCTGGCAATACAAGCATATGCACACTCACATACTCACAATCACACATTCACACATTCACACACACTCAAACTCACACATTCACAGTCACACAAACACACACTCACTTGCAGAAGCACTTTTGCACATTGACTCATACACACTCGTACACAATGGAGTTTCCAGCTCCTGTGAGCTGTGAGGTAGGAATATCACCTACCTAGAGCTAATCCCTCTGTCCATCTCTCGTTCCTCCTGCCACCCCTCCTCCTCGGCCTCCCCTTCAGCTCTGTGCCCTGAGCTGTCTGCTCTCCCACCTCCCCACAGCACTGCCTCTGTTAGTATTAGTATTATTATAGACAGGTTCGCCACTGGACTGCAGCTCTGTTGAGCTGTATGTGCTTATTGCCTCTGTGTGTGTGTTCTGTATAACTATGTGTTGTCTGTATATTGCCTGTGTATAGTCTACATATTTGTGTGTACTGCCCATGTCTATGTGTGTGTGTGTGTGTTGATCGTGACTGTGTTTTGTTAGTGTTTATAGTCTGTGTGTGTTGCCTGTGTCTGTGTAAGGGCAATGTGTGCTGTCTCTGTGTGGACAGTGTGTATTATCTATATCTGCGTGTGGCTTATGTCTGTGTATTACGTGTACTTGGGTGTTGCCTATGTGTTTTCTGTGTGTTGCTTGTGTCTGTGTGTGGACAGTGTGTTATCTGTATGTTGTCATCTTTGTGCTTTCTCCATGTGGCAGTGTGTTGCCTGTGTCTGTGTACTATCTCTGTGTGTTTTTCCCATGTTTGTTGTGTGTGTCGTCTGTATATACTGCTTGTGTCTGAGTGTGTTGCCTGTGTCTATGTGTTGTCTCTGTATATTGTCCAAGACTGTGTTACCTGCGCCTGTGTGATGTCTGTGTGTGTTGTCTCTGTGTTGTCTGTATCTGTGTGTTGTCTGTCTGTTGTCTATTTCTGTGTTTGTTGCCTGTGTCTGAGTGTTCTCAGTGTGTGCTGTCTGTGTATTGCCTGTGTCTGTATGCTGTCTCTATGTGGACAGTGCGTGTTGTGGATGTGTATTGCCTGTTCCTGTGTGTTGTCTGAGTGTGTTGCCTGTCTGTGTCTGGGCAGTGTGCTGTCTGTGTGTGGACAGTGTGTCTACATATTGAAACACACATCAAGCTACACCTTCCTTCCTAACTATTCACACTGAACAACAACACATTGGAGCATACAGTGCCTTGCGAAAGTATTCGGCCCCCTTGAACTTTTCAACCTTTTGCCA